CACACACACACAAACACACAACACAAAACAAACACACACAAATACACAACACAAAACACACACACAAATAAACTTTGTTTTGACCTATGTGGTGTACAGCAGGGGTTCTCCACTTTTTCACTTCGAGGCCCACATTTTTCTCCAAACTTTTTTTGAAGGTCCAAACTGATTATTTGGAGAACATGCTTATTTTAAAGCTTTATTTATTAGCAAAACATTACTTTTGCCTTTTATTATTCCCTTACTTTTCCACATCATTTTTGAAAAAACTCAAAACATTGTGCATATATATAGTGATATTTAAGATTTCACCAAAATATGGAAACCGATTCTGTTTTTTGTGTTTTCTTGTTTTTAACAGTACTTTAGAAATACTCAAAAAATTCTCTGTCAGTGTTTTTAAACTATTATATTTGATTTACCAAAGTCACAGGAATGGAAATTTCACATGCGTCACATCCATATCGGAGAGATGTCACATCCATAACGACACTTTTTTCTCATAAATGCAAAAATGTCAAATAAAATAAACATGTTTGTTCTATAGAGAGACATATTTTATCCTTTCGTCTATCAATATTTATTTTGAGTTGTGCAGTTTAATTTCCACAAAGTATGTTGTATACTGTAGACTTTTTTGTCACAATCATAACACATGCTTATTTTCCTCATTTAAAGTACAAAACATGTTTACAGATGTATATTTTCTGATCCCTTAACTCAGTGGTCAGTTGTTTTGGAAAATATAAACCAATATAATGCTAACATTTACTTTCTATATGAATTTATGTTTTGAGTTTTTACTGTAAAAGTCACATCCATAACGCTATATATATATATATATATATATATATATATATATATATATCCATAACGCTATATATGAGCAATATCACACGAGTAGCAGTGCCTTAGGATTCAAATCATAAGCTGACAGTTAAACAGCTGAGCAAGCATCTTTTAAACTTTAGATCTGTAGTGTCTGCTTTTTGCTGGCTGTATGTGGGCGAAGTAATACACAAAGGGTAAAGAGGCTGTAGGAGTTCTGATATTGCAGAATATCACACTGC